CTTCCGTGTTCAACTTTTGACATGTACTCGGCGGCATTTTTTACCTACATAATGAGAAATATTTCTCATGCAAATTTCCATCTGTACTCTGCACTTATAAACAATGAGCAGAGGGGGGTCATTCTCGTGACCCTGCGCTATTTGATCCCTGAGGAATCTTTTTTGTGCCAGCACCTACATGTACTGTGACAGAAGATCGCAGTTTATACATTCCCATCTGAAGGACGATCTCCATGTACAACATCACCGCACCATATGTATATATTAAATATGAATCCAGTTTTTTTTTTAATTGGTTTTTTTGAAACTGATTTAATACGTCGTTTTTAGGCGTACTTCATCGATTGAAATATTACAAGTAAGTCCTTAAGAACTAAGAAACAGGATGAAATGTGTGTGTGGGGGGGGGGAGGGGGGGGCAGGTTCAATTTTCTTACAGAAAGAGAAATTAAATTCAAATATATGATTACTAAAAATAATTTTTATGAGAAAAATGTATACTTCCCTGCTGTCACTCAAATTACAATTTCTAAATACCTACAGCTTAAAATAAGTTGTATAAAAAAATTATTGACTTAAATTAATTTGTTTGATTTATTTAATCAATCCACCCCAGTTTCTTTTTGCATCTCACGAACTTAGAAAATAATCTCAGTAATTATCAGCAATTCTCAGTACCAACAGTAACTCTCAGCAAATATCGGTAATTATCAGAACCCCCAGTAAAAACGACAGTAAATATCCGTAATTATCAGAACCAACAGCAATTATCAGTAACAACAGTAAAAATATCAGCAAATATCAGAAATTCTCAGTACCAACAGTATTATATCAGTAAATATCAGAAATTATCAGTAAAAAGTGGCACTATCAGTAATTATTTAGGCCAGTAGTGATAACACTCGGAACTCAAGAGTTACCCACTAAGTATCATATTCGCATCACCTGCGTAATTTCTACTTTGACATTTCCAAATTTGTAGCATTTCTCAAGTTTGACGATAAAAAGCCGGTTTATTGTGGAACGCCTGGGCAATGAAATAGCACGATTAAAAATAAAAATATCTACCGAAAAAAAGATGATGGCACATTTTTGTGACAAGCACCATATAAATGATATTCTAGGCTTGATATCCAAGATGTTAACAAACTGAAGTGACTAATGTAACAATAAAGATTATAGAAAGGTGTTATCCTTCCTAATTGAAAATTCATCCACGGATTGTTTCCCGTGAATCCCCGAGCGCTGTCTGTGGTTGGATGTAACTACAACTTCAATATATGAACTCGAGCAGGTACCAAGCAAAATCCACTTGCCATTTACCATGGGATGAAGATAGGATAGAGAAAAATGACATTTGATTTTATAATCTTTCATTTTAATTTTTAGGAAGGAGTGCTTATATTACATGTATCAACACATGAAGAAGGACGCGTTTAAAGGTCGTCATAAAACTCACTTCAGGATTCAATTACATGTAATTAGGAAATTGTTTTTAGGTTTGATGAGATATTGATTTGTAAATCACACAGACTAGGCATAATTAAAGCATTCCTTAATTAAATGTATCAAAGGAAAAAAAGTTATCACATCAAAGCCTGTCTGTTGTTTGTTTCATGACCCTAAATTTCTTGCTCTGGGTCACCAAACGAGATCAACCATTTCCTTTGTAACTTTTGACATTGATTAGATATTGGATTGAAATTCAAACAAGCTAATTCAGAGAATCTGTGTCCCCTGCTTAATGAAAAAAAAGAAGAGGTGGAAGAAATGAAAAAAAAATGCAGATGGAGAAAGAAGGAAGGTCAACATTGACCTTTCAACTTTTGGCCTTAAGGCCACATAAATTTAAAACTAGATTTTCGTCTTAATTTTATTTCGAAAGATGACTTACTGTATTTTGTCATTGCAAGATTCGGAATGCTTTCGGGGCGTAATTATTTGCAAAATTATTTCAAAAAATTATTCATGGACGGTACGGTTAGCTTTGTGAACGGTACGGTTCGCTTCTTGCACGGAACGGTTTGTTTTGTGCACGGTACGGTACATTCCTTGTACGGAACGGTTCCTTTTGTGAACGGTACGGTTCCATTAGTGCACGGTACGGTACGCTTCTTACACGGAACTGTTCGTTTCGTTTCTGAGGTGTTGTAGCGCGTTTTGGGGTCTGTATATAATTATAAAAATATCCTTATCTTCTTTGTGTTTGTGCTGTTTGTAGCTCAGTCCTTATAGCGCTCGCTCCGTGATCGGAAGGTCGTGTGTTGAAATCACGGCCGCAACTGACCTAAGTCGATAAAAAATAGGAAGCAACTGTTCCTTCGCCAAGCGCTCGGCACTTTGAAGTGAAAGTTGCGGGTCCTTCGGATGAGACCTTAAAAACCCATGCCCATGTTAAAAAGTTTTTTTTTCCTATTTATCCTATGGATATTCTTTCATACAAAATCATACCATGTCGCTGAAAATCAATTAACTTCCGTAACGATTTTGTTTTAAATTTCATACACAGAATGCATAACAAAATTTTTCCCGAAATTTCAACTTAATATTTGATTCATGCGAGACATCATGAATAATACTTCAGCGTTCTATACTGAACATCAGAAAACGGAAAATTGGTAAAATTCAGCTTTATTTAAAAAAAGACCTGATCAAGCATGAACTTCCGTGACATTACTTTAAAATCAATGGTATATTGAAATTGTTGTAAAAAGTTAACGTTGTCAGATTTGTGGACAATTCTTTTTTTCAAGTTCTCTGATATGACGTTTAGAGAATTATGATTTTCATTTTCCTATTTGAAACAATTATTTTTTTCATGGTTTATACCCTGAATTGGTCCTTTTATAGTAGAATGATTGTTATCAAAAAAAATCTTGCACCCATATACCTCAATTCTCAATGACCTTGTATTGTAGGGAGCCTGATGCATGAAGTCTACCGCCTTCATAAATGTTTGCTCGATTGTAAATTGATCAAACAAGCTAGCATAAATTTGTATCCTATTTTGTACATGAGATTTATGAAAATAACGAAAAGTATTGAAGCTCAAAGCAAAAACGAACCTCGAAAACATCAGAGGTGGGATCAGGTGCCATGGAGGACTTGGGATCCTCTGCCGACCGGTCACACCCCCGTGTGCTCCTTGTGATGACTGGGAAAAAATCTGTAGACAATTCATTTTGTAAATAATGGCCTAACAATTAGTATGGAAAACGTTAGTCAGCATTTGACTTAATGAAAGGTTATATTTGCTGACAAGGTCTTGCGAAATTATGACTTCAAACGAAACTATTGATATCCTTATTTCATCAACCTGTTTGTCAATAGCTTGATTGTTTTAAAAAAAACTGTTCATACGTTGAGCTTGCTCTTGCGTATCGAATCAAATGGGAAACAAAAACCCCGTAAACAGGTGATATGGGTATATTGCTACATGAGTAGGGGGTGTTGACGAATCGAAAAAATGAAGTCATCACGATTATCATAAAGCTTTGTTGTTAGGTTATCATTAGTCTTTTTCTAGTGAAATATCAAAATATGAAACTGATGTGTCAGACTCTGTGGTATCTTTTATTTCAAGCTCACCGGGATATATCGAGTCAACATATGAATGAAAGTGACTATTGTTAATTGAAAATACGTCGATGACGTCTATATATCTAAATGTCGAGTAAAAGTTTACAGCAAGTGTTTTTTTTCCTTCTTGTGAAGATGTTTTTGAATAAATTTTGCTTCATATGGATACAAATGGATGGAAATAAATCTACTAATATGAGGACGCACGTGGTACCCATGGAGATTCCGAAAGATTTTTTGAAGACCTGTTCTTCAAAAACTACATAGATATTGTCAATCAGAAACTGAAGCATATTTTTTAATATTAACTTCAGAGTGCTTGTGTGTAAGAATGTGTTTAACAAAATGATTTTGCAAATGACCAATAACTTTCTTTGTATGTCTTGAGACTGATATTTATATCATAGAATTCATGGACTTCTTGTTTAATGTTTATCAAATTATACTGCAAATACTGCATAAAGGGCTGATTTAAAAAAAAAAGGGGGGGGGGGGAGTGGGGAAGCTCTAAATCATATCGAAGGACAAATATATATTTACAGTTTTCTCTCTGACCATAAACTATGATTATATGAAAAGAAGAAAAGCTTATCCCCTTTAATTTTCGCCAAAACTTTTCTTGTTTATTCATTATTATACTACAATTCAAAAAGATTTTTTTAACCACACTATTAATGTGCGTCAAAACGTATAGTTCGAATCCCACTGCGGGACGTGATGACCGGTCCTTCGGATGAGACCGTATAAACCGAGGTTCCGACTCTCAGTAGGTGCTGGCATGAAAAAAATCCCCCATTGCTTAATGGCCCCGACTGCCTAGTATAGGTCAAAATTTGCAGCCGTCGACCGGCAAGTGGTGGCGTCTTAATATGAGAGAAAAATTCTCGAGAGGAACGTTAAACAAGAAACAAACATATACACCGTAGACTTCCAGAATGTTATCTATAATTTTAAGAACTAGTACTACAAGTATTTCTACAGAACTGAAAAATGTGCTGGAAATGAATATTTTCGAAATTATGCTGGCGGCGATTAATCAGTTGACTTGGAGTCTCTCTCTCTCTCAATGAATTGTCACCTGTGACATAAAGTTTAGCGATGAAATGTTGCTGCGTCTGTATGACCTACATATTGCCATGTTTTAATCTAATATTTCGCATCGTTGTACATGTACACGTAAATATACTTATAACGATATTTATTTCGTAGATTGAATTATTGAATAACATAACAATTATATAAATTATTGAATAACATAACAATTAATTTGATAAAATAATAATAATTATGGAATATATTTTTTTCTTCATAAAATAATCACTTCGTTGTTCCGAATCTAGACACTGACACTTATCAACTTGCTCCGGTATACAGCCCAGATAACTGTAGATTACGTAAGTAAACACAAAAGTAGATTTAATATTTCTGTCTTAGGTAATACGTGCTATACAGACAGCAGTAAAGTGACCGGATTCCTTCTACAAAGCTGTCCTCCTGTGAGTTTCTTTTACTAAGATATATTCAAAAATATGAAATGATTCAGTTGCTAGCATAGTAATTTGAATTTAAATGTTCAAAGTATCTGTAGGTATTTCAATGAAACATATACAGGAATCTACAGAGCTGCCTTGGCAAGGTAATGGTAAGGCGTTCCTACTACTTTTATGCATTTTGTCTTAGAAGAAAATCTAAAATTTAAATACAAAGCTTTAATATCAAAAACTACAAAAAAGTAGAATCTACGAGGGGTTATCAAAAAGTTCGTGGACTGATGCGATAAAATTAATACTATGTAGTCTGTGCTTACAAAATTTATGAAAAAAATAAATCAACAAAAGTTTAAGAAATGTTGAAAATTTTACCTTGATACGTTGATCTAAAATAAAAAAAGACATTATATGATCACCCGGCGCTGTCGCCGTTTAGTTTCATGACGTCCGACAACGTCATTGTTTCTCAATGTCCACTCCGTCTACCTTATACGCTTATCTTGATGTGATTACCTAGAGTTAGGTAAGGACTTAAGTCCGTCTTGTTTATGTGACATAACAATGTCAGGAACAGCTGCTTTCAATGCATATAATATTGTAAATGTAAGATCCTCACTTGATTATACCAGAATACTTAGCTTGATGGAGTTCAATTTCTACCACACATGATCAACGTCACTTTTCCACGTGACTGATTTTGACACCCTCACAACAAATTGACTTTATCTGCGCATCTTTCATCTCGCTGAATCTTTTTGGCTTTTTAAAACGAGTACTCTGGATGTGTTTTATTGTTCTGTAGCCCGTTTAAAGAATTTCCTAGGTCTATACCAGTTTTTCCAGGTGCAAAACTTTAAAGAATGTTGGAAACAGTAACCCCTCCCCTCTTTTGACGTCATTTTTGAGCCCTTAATTGTTTGTATACTCCATATAAATTTACGATAAAATTTCATAGAATTTACAGAATGGGGTAAAAATTGCAAATTTTACGGAACAATTGTGCTGTAACACATGCCTTGATTAACCGGATTTTTTGACGGCAAATGCTCATATCAAAAGAGTTTTTTTCAGTTACATTCAGGTAGAAAAACGTCATATTTGAGGTTGCGCCGCCTGGACATACCATTGCTTACAAAAACAATAACAATTTATTAAAAATTAAGACTTATGATTTATGGTTTATTCTATCGATAGAAAAGATGATGCTAACTAAATATATTAAAATTCATTGATGTACCTAAAGCGGTTTTAATTTTATGGTGCTAGTCCACGAACTTTTTGATAACCCCTCGTATTGACATTGTGTCTGATCAATCGTCGGTAAAGGACAGATGATACAAACAATAAATGGATACCTGGATTGGTATATATTTTTCGACCCTTTTTGATTGTAAATGATGCAAGTAATAAATTTCTAGAGTATTACGAATTTGTATACTTTCTATGATGTTCAAAATTCTACAACCCTCCTTATTAATCTATATTCTTTGTCGCTTAAAACCACGTTATTGTGAAACTTTGAATAAAAAATTAAAATCTATGAGGTTAAACTTAGCCATTTTACTTATGTAATCATGACTAAAGTGGTTATTTTCAAAATTTTTGAAAAAAAGTTTGTTTGTATCATCTGTCTTTAAGGACATACGCAACGTAGTTTGAACTTTATTGTCTTTTTCCCTGGAGTTGAAGAGTTCCAATACTTAAAGGATTTGTGTGCTACATTTGTATGTATATATATATATACTGTTGTACACTTCTTCTAAAACAAGTTTGGATAAACAAAACATCTAGAATATGTGTTTACTAATTTTTGTGTATTTTTCTTTGAATTATACAAGAATGTTCATCAATTGATATCTTTTCAAAACCCCTGGTAATGGATGCTGATTTTTTGTCGACGAACATCTGATGGCACTATAATCTTAAATTAAGAATATCTTGAAAAATTATCAGTAGGTAAGGTACGTTGCTTATGTCCTTAAACTTGAACATTCTACATTTATTATCAACTTTGTTTAAATAAAAAAAGGAATTATGGATAAGACATAACATCATTTGGCTTGTTTAGCAAATCAATTCTGATCATTTGATTGTTGCTTAGGTGTTAGGTTTTACATGGCGCGGCGAACGAGAATAGAAGCTGAGCCCTCCGATTACGAAACGAAAGCCCTACCACTAGGCTACTTTGACAGATCTTAAATCATTTCAGGTCTTTTAGTGACAGAACATGAACAACCAATATTCTATAAAGTAGGAAAAATAAATACTCTAGAATTAATTATTTTCGTAGATTTAATTTTTCGCAGTTTGAGAAAAAAAATGCTTAGAGGGATATGATTTCATAGTTAAACAAAAACAAAAAAAAACATATATACTGTAGTATGAAATTTAAATATTTCACATGAAATTCATGTGGGGCATGAATTCCTGAGCCTTTTTCCTTTAAGAAAACAATGTGAATTACACTGTGATTTCAAAGTTGTTTAAATAAGCTCAATTAAATGAGGTATATTTCGGTAATGTGTCAAATGTTACACCATATTCCTCTTGAAACATCAATTTGAATGCTTTTACATCAAAGCGCATTCAGTAAAACACGCAGTATAATAATTCTAAGAATAATACAAGATGTTCATGTTTGAAAGAATCGTTACACACCAACATTAAAAAAATTTGCTAATATTTTTATTTAAAAATATCATATTTTTCATTGTAAAAATAACATGCTTTAATTATTTTATATCATTTTAGATTTTACTTTAGTATGGCATTAAACGGGAAAACTGCTCTAGTGACCGGTATTTGTGGAGGCATGGGATCTGAAATTGCAAGATCCCTTGCCCTATCTGGATGCACTATTCTCGGAACAGACCGTTACGATGCAAAAACTGTTACAGATAATATCGAAAAACTCACCCAAATGTAACATGTTATTAAAATTATCTGTTTTTGTATAAGTACTGAGTAAAATTTTGATATGAAATGATGGAAGTATAAAATTAGATTTATTTTCAAATTCCTGCAATTTGTGAAACGGCTGACGTTTTCCTCCTAAAAAATCAGGTTTACTCTTTTTACAGTTGCAAAAAGGAAGTTCGGTATTTTGAATGCAACCTGCTTAAGAGAGAAAGTATAACTGATCTTTGCCAAAAAATTGATTCTGCCGTTCCAGCTGGTGTAGACATATTAGTAAATAATGCAGGTAAATTATATATCAAGTGTTAAAAAATGCATTCTAAGTTAATGTTAAAATGACTATTTTTCTTAAAGTTTTATTCGGTATGTATTATATTGTTAAAAAAATGCTTTTACACTTTTATATTTAAATGTTTTATAACTTCAGCTTGTATGAGTAATACAACGTTATATGAGATATTTGAACATTTATTACAACGCGGGTATGTTAAGGCAGTACACAGATCATATTTCGGCGAATTTAGACTTTTTTCGTAAAATTTAACATTGATAAATCGGAAATGCCATAGATAAAACATTTACCATTATTATCCATTGTATAGACGTCATTGAGTCTTAGGCTAAAAGAAGCACTCTACTACGTCGTCATCACGTGACGTCTATAAATAGAAAAATTGCCATAATGAAAAAGTGAAAAGTTCAACACTACCCCGGGGATAATTCATTTCTTTTTGTGAAAATAATTATGTAAAAACATCACTGGACCATGAAAAGTGCTGCTAGAATCCTACTCTCCAAAAACACAAAAAAAATATTCCAAAGTTTTGCATGAAACAATACCAAAATTTTTACATTTTATACATACGATCAAGGAATTGTCATCAATTTATGTTAACCACACGATTCTAGCAGCACTTTCCAAGTACTATAGAATACAAGCTTTCGATACAAAGAAAAATTATGTTTCACAGTATGCAGCGTAGTGTTGAACTTTTGCATCTTTGTTGTTATAGAGCGACAGAGGAAAAACTGATCGGAATTTCAAAGTACTGCCTGTATTCATTACAAGAAAACATTATAAGAATATATAAGCGTACCTGATTCATAATCTTTAATTCCTTATGAATCACACATAACATCCACGGTATATGCTTTAAAACTCCCATTTCATGCATTTGTTTACATGAATTCTCGTCACGTTTCATTTTCACTCGGCAAATATTTGATCAATAGTTATGACGTCATGGGTATGGTATTTAACCCCCGTGATAAATACTTAGCTGTTTATATCACCCAAAAACGACAATATTTAGTTTATATTATGTTTTTGAATGATTCCATTCATTTCTTGGACCTGAAATTAAACTTTAAATATAGATATTAAGAAATCATTATTTGTAAAGATCACGTCATACAGCTTACTATGACGTCATATTGTAAAGGTAAGTAGGATATCTCTGGGTGTAGCCTTAACATACCCGTGAATTTAATGAATAATCAATATATTTCTGTTGAAATAAAATTTCTTACAGGGGTTGTCTTCTTTGACCTCCTTGAAAATAAAACGCTAGAGGGTTTCGATGAAGAAATCACTGTAAATTTGACGGCACCATTTCATCTTTCTAAACACTTTTTTGTGTCAATGAAAAAGAAAGGTAAGACACGGTTCTATTTAAAAGAAAATTTCTGTTGACCCTCAATTAGGGAAAAACAAGGCAAAAGCTTTGAGATTGATAACATCAAACAAGCAAAGAACAACATCAGCATAAAAAAATGAAAAAAAAAAAAAAATAAATAAATGAAAGAATGAGTAACACCACTGATGTGTTATTTTTGTTTTTCATATAAAAATTGACGCAGTATCAATATGTGTTTTAACCATTCTGCTAAGGGAAATATATATTTTATTTATGTACTATAGAGTGTATCAAATCAAAGCTATAATGTAAGAATACCTCTTGTTACCATAACATTATAATTTATTTCAATTTAGTTCTTTTTATGGTGCGTTGTTTGTTTTGAACATGTTTCATCGAAGAAAATCCGAAGGCCTCTGAAATAAGTTCTTTAACTGAGTAGTACTCTCCTTGATAGCATTAAAGTAGATCTATATTCGCACTACGTCATTAACGATTAGTAAATCAGGAACCACTCCTCTTTTTTCTGAGATCTAATTTTTTAACTACATTGATTTGACTTTTATAAGCGTTTTAAGTATCCGGTAATGATTACAAGTCGGTCACGTCAAAGAAAGTGTAACGGGAAATTAAGTAAAAAAGAAAGGATGGGAAAAAACTTTAGGTTGACAGAGACACGATGAGGTAATAAAGATATAACATAAAGGACGTTTCTTTGGATGAGAATAAGCCGATAAAATGGATCAGGAGTATGCTATCAAAGCGATGCAAGACAGACAGTCAAAGACTTTTGTCGGCGGGCAAGGTGAAGTAAATACTGATAGCTCGCAAGAGAAGAAATTGGCTACGATTTGACAGGGACAACTTTAATAAATTTCATTATTTCAAACATCAAAATATGAACATTAAATAATTATCACATTCTTAGACACATACACCCCCCTCGCCTGCAAACTGATCGGATTAAAGCACAATGCAAAATTTTTTTTTTTTAAATAATAGTATAGTAGTAAATGAAAATAGTTTATTCACTTGCAGCACACCAATTTTCTGTACCGAGATCATCCAGTTTGCCAGAATCTGTTAATCACGGTCAAATCCAATGTCTTCAATTTTACTGACAAGTGGTATATATATTTCTAAAAGAATTCTAAACCAAGGTGGATTTAGGGACAGTAGGTACTGAATGTGTATAATTATTGTTTTACAGGTGTCCCAAAATATATGATACCATTTGAAATACCTGCCACAAACACATTCCATGGCCAATTTCTTTGATATAAGTCTCTAAAAATATTTAGATAAGTACAATTTTTTAGCAACAAAATATTCAATAAAAATTCTCACACTTATGAAATTGCAACATATCAAATTTAAGTCAAACTTTTGTAAAAAAAAACAAAAAAACCTGCAATTTCAATCAAAATGGATTATCAAAAGAGCTAGCTACCCTCATGTTAAAACTGTAATTATCAATCCTAGTGTTATGTTACTGCTGCTAATCCTAAACCAGAATCCTTAACATATACAGAAGGTTTTCCTCTGATAAAAATCCCGAAGTTTTTACCAAGACAGGCACTGCTGTCTCAAGTTAAGGAACTTTGTACAATGTCTAGACATTATCATTACACAAATAGAACGTCATTTAGAGGGCATCATTTAAAAACCATAGCATTTTTCAAAGTGAACTCCATTTGTTGTTTTCTTTTTAATGACTGTCAAATTATGTGAATAAAATTGGACATTATTTATAATGCATTTGTTGTAATCCAATATTTATTACATTAGGTTTTACAGAATCTTGGAATGGTATCATACATTCTGGGACACCCTGTATGTACAACTTTATAAGTACACTCAAACTACAAATGTATAGCAAAATATGGCACAATATTATTTTTGAGAGAAAATTTTCATGGGGGTCCCTATAGTGCATCTCTTATACTATGAAAAAACATGTATCAACATGCAATTTTTTTTTATAATTCTTTTTCTAAGATGTTATTTTGTAAAAATAAAACACTTTCTCGAAGACTGAGTCCAAGACTGAGTCCAAGACTGAGTCCATAAATATAACCTAAAATGATCCAGATTGACCAGTGAAGCATATTTTCTTGTGTTACATTTTGATACTTTAACCCAACAAAGTGCACATATTTATAAAAATTCAAAACAATGATGAAATATGTTTTAATAACATGTTTCCATTCTATTTTAGGTATTATAGTTTGACTGTCTAGATTTTAATTCTAATTTATTGACAATTTTGAAGACAGGTACCTTCTCTTAAATTTCAATATTTGGAATTTTGTGGTATATACTGCTGAGAGGCAATAGCAGAAAAATAAGCATGTTGAAATATAATTTTTCTTATGTCTATCCATTGCTGGAATGTATGTCTATGTTATGAACGCAAGTTTTTCAAGCTTGAATCCATTTAGTGCCGAGTATAGAACTACCTTAAAAAGAATAATTATAATTTTTGAAGTAATATACATAGATACTTCCAATTGTTGAGTATTTATGAAAAAAAAATTGAACTACTCGAATAAATTGTATTTAAATGTAAATTATAAAATTGCATTCCTGTTATATCAACAGTAAAATTCTCTCTCAGTTGGTCACTGGAATTCAAACTACGTTTAAAACCGAAAATCTTAATATCCATATGTGACAATAGTAAATCCTCTTCAGAATTTAAATTTTATGATAAACGTGATGGTTTCATCATTTTTACCTCCAATGTTCTTTATTTATGTACCATTATACAATTATCACCTACTGAAGGAGTTTAGGTCTCCCACGTGATTCAATATGCAAGAGCATGATCTACGCAGCACTGTTAAGGTGTACTACGAAGAAATCAACGGAATATGAACGTGCATAAATACATAACTTTTTAAAATGAATCTAATTTTGTAAAGCTACTATATTATCAAATGACTTTAATTTTGATTGAAATAACATTGAATACCCCGCTCTGTATTGAATTTGGTTTGCTCACGTTATTTGACAGTCACAAGATAAATATATGTACTGTATGTAGGTCATGAACACATTTCAATATCGCAAGGGCATACCCTAGTTATAGTAAAAAAATTAAGTAATAAATTGTTTCTTCATATCTTGTAGTTTGTGGAAAGTCCTGCTGCTTTAAATAGAATTCGCATTTTATTAGTTTAAATTTCAAATTATTTAGCTGTAGTCGAAAAATATGTGAACCTTTATCAAGTATTTTGTGTATTTATTAGTTAATGCTCTCGATTTCAGGAAAGCAGCAGCACTTTTTAAGGTAAGAAATGTTCCCGTTATGTATATTTAAAAAAAATGTCAAGATTTATAAAGTGTATGCCCTTGCGAAAAGGCGATTTAACCTCGGTGTGAAACATGCAAACCCTGTACAAAAACACGGTAGAATTGATTCATTCTCTCGATAGTTTTTAAATAAAGGCACTAAACAAAGGTTTCAGATTTGTATTAATAGTCTACCTAAGATTTGCAAATAATATTCTCTTCAATAATTAAATGCATTTTATCACTGTGAAAAAATTACTTGATCCGCCTCTCACTGCAAATAAAATGCGTCAAATTTTACCATGATGACGTCATGTCGACATGTGCATTGCAATCAATGACTTGTTTATATTTTGCTTTGTGGGATTTAAGTAGCGATAAAAATGACTGCATTGGTAAGTTCTGATGTAATTTCATTACTCATATGAAGTTTAAAATCGCAGATTATTTCACTTTCTGTTATTAGAGAAATACCGACATCTTACGAACGAACGTAAATCGCCCTAACTTCCCGTATCTCGGTAGTTTTCGCGGGATCAATTATTGCACCTATATATAGTTAAAAATCGGAACAATTAAGTATATGTGTATAATAGAACGAATAGTGTTTTAACTACTTTGTAAATGATAATTTCCCCTGTCTAATTCTCTGTAATCACTTACAATGAAATTAAAAGCGGACAATAGAAGAAAATACTCCATAATACCTTAGACGGATTAGGAAACACGTTTGTCATGCGTCAGTGATTATACGTATATACTAGCGTGCGATGTGTTCACTTGGAGGAAAAGTTACGTTTTATAGCATGATAAAATTTAACCTCATACCTGTATAAATCCGTGCAAAGACAACAAGTTACTAGGTGATGTGCATATATATAGTGTCTTGTATTAAAAGTGTACATTTATGTGTCTGTAAGAGAGAGAGAGAACAACTGACAATAAATAAGCATTGTTTTCCAACGTTACAGAAATCAACTATTAAAAATCAGAAAATGGGTGTCACTACTTCGGAAAATATATTATTTTTAAAGTAGATGTTTGAGCTGGAGAGGTAGAGGGGGTCTAAGCTCAATTCATCGAATAAAATGTCCGTTTTCATTTCATTTGACTAAATACATGAAATACAAATTTCAATATACTACAATCCTTAAAAAAGTGAAATGAGGCAATACTTGCATGTGCAATAGGGCGGGAAACACCCCCCATATTATATCTAGTGAAAGAAAAAGTAACTAATTCATAAAGTAGGAAGGGTAGGTCCTTTTATATAAATATATAAATATATATATATATATATATATATATATATATATATATATATATATATATATATATATATATATATATATATATATATATATATATATATATATATATATATATATATATATCACTACAAAGAAATAAACGAGCATTCATATGGTAGACAGTATCTTTTTGGATGATGTATTAAATGCATGGCGATCTTCACTTAATTTATCTTGCGACTGCTTTTTATTGTATATGTTATATCTATATAGATAATATGTGGATTATAAAAAAGCTGCAATTTATGCATTTAGGTAGGGTAGGGTTTTTTTTTTTATTAAATTGTCTTTGTACTCAAGTTATGTTCCATTATGTCTTTGTTTGTTAAGCATGTATTATCAGAATATAAAATTACAAGATACACTGTATATGTGAAGGGTAGCCTTGATCGCACACAGAGTAATTTCGACCGA